ACTAAAGTTTCTGGCTTTGGGGACAACAGTAGCAAAATCCCATCTAAGTGCCAAGCCCCCTCCTTGCCACTTAGTCACCTGGTATCTACTGACCCTATTAAGAAGACACAATATCCCTTTTGTATGCAGGACACACAAATCCACCTCATTGTTTTCCTTCTGGCTTCTTCCAGATCATTTTGTGTGCAAACCATTTTGAACTGACCACAAAACCCCAACTGTATCCAAGCATATGTGGAGCTCATGACCCGGTATGGCTTCCAGGTTAGAAGTGTAGTTTCTAGTTAGATATTAACCCCTTCTTTCCTTGTCAAAATTAATCACTGGATATAGGTCATGCAAAGGGAATTCACTGGTATATTTAACTCCTAACATCTGGAAACCCTTTAACCAGAAGTTGTATGCAGAATTCCTTCCTAGGCTAAATGATCTGACATCAACTGTAATGAGATCTTGGGTGATGTTCATGCATTATAAATCAAGGTGGCAATTGCTTTCATATATGCATAATCTCAGAAAGGTCTTCAGACCAAGGTTGGAGAATGTGTGCCCGCTCCAGATGTTGCTGGATAGAAGCTTCATCGTCCTTTATTCTTGGCCAGGGAATTAGTCTAACATCTGGAGAAGCAAACGTTTCCCACCCCTTTGATCTATTCTCTACTCTAGTCATCATCATGTTATTTACAGGGTATCTTTGTACTATTTCTCTTCTACTGTTAATCATCACCATCCTTACAGGAAGTAAACCAAGAGACCATCTCCATAGTTGTATATTCAGAAGAGAACGGTCAAATCATACTGGAGTACTCTCAAGTCTAAGCATATCTAAGTGCTGGATTTGTTAATGTTAGTATTTTAAGAAGCTCACTTTCAGGCTTTAATATTGCAATGATGTCCTCTGTAGTTTATTTGCTAGAGAAAATGTAGGATAGATTCCACTTTGCCCATGAAACTTGAAAATATCTACTCTGGACAGGTAAACTCTTTTTATTCCTTTTGCAGCTTTGCTGAGCACATGAGAGAGTACAGTTTTTGGTGTGTTTAAGCTACCGGGTTACAATGGAAACAGTTTAGGCCACGGCACTGTTCACAGTGCTGATGCTGAATTCTTATCTTGGCGTTTCAAAAGTGTCAGATAGCAGAACAACCTGGAGTACTTCGGGTTATCCATTGGTGCTGGAGGGTAGAAGAAGGCAGGAACTGATACCTAAATGGTACTACAAAACTTTAAGCAATGCTGGCCCTTATGGATGGAAAGATATGTCTTGGGCCTGCTTCAGGCATCACTGGAAAAAGAATCCGCCCAAGAAAAGGGAGGGAGTACAGGAAGGAAATGCCTCTATTTCTCAAGCAGCAGCTACTGGGCTCAAGAGATCCACTACCAGAATGTCTGAAGACCCTTCTGCGTGATCAGACCAAAGGTCTATTTGCTCCAACTTCTTATTTATACCGTAACTAATTCGATACTTATGGGAAGCCCATAACCAAGACATGAACTCAGTAGAAACCTCCCTCTTCTGTTCTTTAATGATTAATACACAGATACATGTTCCCTCTAGTACTGGAGGGAATATATATCCACCATGACGAGCATTCAACAACAGCTGTAACTTCCATGAATTATTCCAGTCCCCTTTTAAAGCTGTGCAGGTCAATGGCCATCACTACGCGTTGTTGTAGCTACCTCTTTGTGCAACAATACACAGTATGGACATGTCTTTGCTTTAGACAACACTGTCTTGGGCATCCGTAATGTCCACACCTATTCAGTTGCAAGAATGCTGCAGCACAACTTGCTTTCACTGTAGCCCCACTTAAACCCAGAGGTACAGGTAGGTTTTGACCTAGAGCAGGGGTTCTCAGCTTTGAGTAACCCAGATGTTCTTGGATGCCAACTCCCAGGAATCCTGGCCAACATAGCTAGTGATGATGGCTGCTGGGAGTTTCCATCCAAGAACACCTGGGTTGAGAATCATTGACTTTGAGAACAATATTTGGGGCTCTGAAGCCTACCCCAGCCCCACAGGATCACTCAGAGAAGAAGCTGATGGGGGCAAGAGCAATAACGGTTGTCAGCTGCAGATGAATGGGCATAGCCATGCCAGATAGCATCATTTCTTGAACGTGAAAATAATGAATTGATAAGAAGTGTCTGGTTAGGGATATGCATTGAGCTCATTGTCTTTATTTTCAAAAATGGTGTTTTCCTACAATATATGTAATTCCCTTCTATATAAAATGGTGCTTTTAATGGGTTCGGTATGAGTGCATATACTTTCCTTTTCTATATATTATACTGATACTACGTATCTCTTTCTATAGCAAAATGTTGCTTACTCATGTGTTTAGAATCAGGGCAACAGAGGCAAGTCCAGGGCCATTAAAGCCCCCTTCCCACTTAACTATCAAAACCATGGAATGAAATTATCTAGCTACACCACAAGTAAAAACTATAAACGTTAGGACTCTGGCTAGTAAGAGCTGAATTGAATCTAAGACATGTGGACTGACCTTCACCCATGCAGCAGAATACATGTGAAGGTGTTCAAGGATGTGTGAGAATTTACATGTTTGAGCAAATAAAATCTAATTTCAGAATAAGGGTTTACTAAAATGTTTGTTAATTAACTACAGGATAGTGGATTGCACATCACATTAAATATTTGAGTGTGAGGCCATTTTTATAAGATGAAAGAGAATAAGGGTGTTAGTTTGATTTGTCACGTGGTAAATTCAGCCTCACAATGTGCACCACATGGAATAAAAAGTTTACAGGAGCCAAACACCTAATTCTGCGGTTAAATTTAAATGCTGTTTATTAAAATACGACGTTTAAAAATTTGCCAGGCTAGCAAAAAAGCAAAAAGCAAGAAAGGCAGAACATTAAAGTGTTTTATAAACCCTCCTGGCAATAGGCAGGGCATGTGTTGAATGATCTAATCCTCAGGTGTGTTTTTGTTTTTGTTGGCTCTTGTCTTCTCAATTTATTTCTGCTGACGTATTTCTCATGAAAAGCCATATTGCAAACTGCATTTGCTTCTGCGAAAGGGATGTAGCTAGGAGGAAGGTGAGCAACATTTGGGAGGAACCGTTTTCGGTTTTGTAACTTTTCTGAACAACTGGTGCCATTAGCAAACCTAACTATATCATGCTCAGCTATCACTCCAGATCATGTAGGAAAAACTTAAAAAAACACCATCCTAAGATTCCCATTATAAAAACCTTCAAATTGTTCCTAGCTTCTGTTTCTTCAGTTCTGAGCAATAAGACAACCTTTTATCCTGCAACTGGTAAGTTCACACAGAACCCTTTTGGCAGGACCTTTAGTCAAAAGCCCATGTAATAAAAGAATAGAATCCAGAAAATGCTTGGTTCAGTAAGCAGGAAACTGGTTCCTTGTGTGGAGGGGAGAAAAAACACACAAACCCCTAGATTCAAATTCCTGTCCTGTTCACAGATCATTGGATTTTCCTGAAAACGTGACCCTTTTGTTTCTTTGCTCTCTGTTTCTGGGGAACAACAGTACTTACAATACAGTACTGTAGTTAACACGTCTTTGAACCCAGGTATTGGGGTCCCGAGACCTCCTAGGGAAATAAATATGGCAGATACTAACTTCAGCTTGTGCTTTGCTTCTTGGGTGATCCTAGAACTTCAGCTTGTGCTTTGCTTCTTGGGTGGTCCTAGAAGAACTGTGCATATTTTAAATTGTTTTTATCCTGTTTGTTGTGAGCCGCCCAGAGTAGACTATGTCTAGATGGGCGGCAGACAGACAGACAGACAGACAGACAGACAGACAGACAGACAGACAGACAGACAGACAGACAGACAGACAGACAGACAGACAGACAGACAGACAGACAGACAGATAGATAGATAGATAGATAGATAGATAGATAGATAGATAGATAGATAGATAGATAGATAGATAGTAAACATACTTAAAATATTCAAAGATTTGGGCTTTTTTGGGGGGTGGATGAGAAAAGAGTCTGCCCATATTTCCTCCTCCTTTGCAGGCTCGCTGGATAGATTCCTACTGTGAAAAGTGAGGTGAGGACACCCGAGAAAACTTCCCCGTATTTATTTATTATTCAAGTATACACGGGCACATTGTAAATCGTGGTGCTATGCACACAATTTATATCACAGGTGGGTGGGATTCTGCCCTTGAGGGT